AAAAAAAATGTCCTCGGGTGAGAATAAAAAAATAAATAAGTAAATAAATTAGCCATCATTAATACACCTCATGTAAACCAGTAACTGTGAACAGTTTGCAAAGTCTGTAGATTAATCAAGCTGGATGCTAAATATTGGAAGTGGAGCAGATTTAATTTCCTGGATTACCTGATCAAGAACATCAGCAGATACGTCATCTAGTCTTCTGTGGACAGTGTCATTCGATAAGGAAATTGCACTCAATTTTGTAACAAATCCATCTCCGATCATAACTCGAACAATGTCTTTGGCTGCTGGCAACAGTAAATCCTCAGCAATGGTGTGAGGTTTCATAGCTCCGGTGATTCTGAGCGCCACCAAATATGAAGCTTCAATGGCTGCTATGTTTTGTTTGTGGTACTTGCCACCAGTTGCAAGTCTGGCTTTCTTGAGTCCATTGCTTTGCTTCTAAAATAGTTGGTATCCTTGCCGGCAAAGTTGGTATCCTTGCCGGCAAATGCTTGCTATCAAAATGGCATTTTAGTTTGTTCAGCTTCATAGATTCGGCTGATAGAACTTCACAACAAACAACACATTGCGGTTTCTCAATTCCTGCTGTAATTATTGAGGTAAAACCATACTGTAAAAAATCCTCACTATATTTTCTTTTCTTAATGTTCTTCTCTACATGTTCCATTGTCATGGGATGGTTTGCTAATGAAAATAATATATAACAATAGCTCTAATAATACAAAAGATAATACATGGCAACGTTTAGTCAATACAGTTTATTAAAGTTTCCTATAATTTACCATTCTCTGTGTTTTTTTTTAATCCTCACCTGAGGACATTTTTCCATTTTTTTTTCAGATATAGTGGGAGGGAGAGAGAGAGAGAGAAACATCGATGTGAAAGAGACACATCAAGTGGCTGCCACTCGCATGACCAACCAGGGTTGGGGACAAACTGCAACCAAGGTACACGCCCTTAATGGGAACTGAACCTGGGTCTCTCTGGACTGCAGGCCAATGCTCTAATTGCTGAGCCAAACCACCAGGGCTCTGTGTTTTTTTTTTTTTACATACCTGTTACTATCACAAGGGGGCAGTATTCACATCAACCACAGCTGAATATAAAAAGACCGATCAGCACCCTGATTAAGTTCCCATGGTACAGATATATATATATATATATATATTTTGCAGTAGTTGATGATTTTTACAGTACATGATTTTATCCAGTAATTATAATTCATGAAGTATTGTTTTACCTCCAATACTGCTACTTTCAACACAGTAGCTGCTTTTAACAGAGTAGCTGCTTTCTACACAGTAGTTGCTCTCTACACATATGTGACTGGTCCGCCTAAGTACATTATGATGCCAACCCTGTCGCATACACCTGTATTTGTACGGGGTGTATGTGATGGGGTTGGCGCGATATGGGCGTATCTATATGTGGGTGTATCTGCATGTGGGCAGACCCTCCTGGAGATGGATAGAGGAGCGGTGTCTCGGTTCCTAAGACCATCAGAAATATGTGTTTTCCGATGGGCTTAGGCAACCCCTGGGAAAGGGTCATTTGACCCCCAAAGGGGTCTCGACCCACAGGTTGAGAACTGCTGCTCTAAGGGAAGATTTGAGTGGGCTGCTTAGAGAACTACCTTAGCCTTTTAGAAAGAAAGTCACAGAGGCTTAAGAAGTTAGCCAGCTGGGCTACATGGACTCAGGAAACACATTACAGAGGCAAAAGAAGGGCCCTTGGTGATGGGTTCAGTGGGTTAGCCCCGGGCAAGCTGTGGTTGCCCATTGCTTCCCTGGCTGCAGGTCTCATGGGGACTCTTAGAACTTAGGGGAAAGAAAGCAAAGATGCATGCCTGAAGAAAGAAGGCATGGGCTTGCTCTAGAGAGAGCATGTGCACGCGGTCTTCTGTCTTAAGGGTGTGTTTTTTGTTGTTGTTGTTAATCAGTTTTCTAATGGCAGGAAATTTAGGGGACATCTTAAGGGAGGATTTCAATAGAATATTGATCAGCTTTCCAGGTGTGTCCTTTAATATGCTAATTCATCAAAATGACCCTATAGGGTCTGGGTGTGGTCTCTACTGATTGGTAAACATTAGAGTGGGTCATTAGTCAATACATTTGGTCCTCATGTCAGCCAAGGCATTGCTTCCTCTAGATTTGCTGCTTTTCTGGGCGTGGAGCTGAGACACAACTGAGACCTAGATGTTACCTCTAGTTTGACCAAAACTGTCTCTATGGTCAACAGACCTGAGGCTTTGTTCCTATGATTATTTGATGCTGATCAGAACCTCATTGTCATAAGGGCTTAAAGTTTAAGGGAGTGGACATGCAAGGGAAAAGGAGGCAGGTGAGTCAGTGTGGTGGATGAGGCCAATTTGAACCAGCTGTCTGTCTCAGTTTCCCCATTCCATTTGCCAAGGAATTTTCCTAGCTTCTTACTATTCTGCTTCAGCTTTGCTATGTTTATGTAATTGACAACACATATTGTAGTAAAACTTAAATTTATTTTTTTTACACTAAAGTAATATAGAAAATACTGAAGAACAGAATAAAGGGGGGAAAAATGCCCATAGAAACACTATCCAGAGAAATTCTGGTTTCAATGTTTCTTCTTTTTTTCCCTAATACCTCATAGTTTTTTATTTTGTTTTTAAAAATTGTTTTCTTTATTGATTTTAGAGAGAGAGGAATAGAGAGGGAGAGAGAGAGAAACATCAATGAGAAAGAACAGCGATTGGCTGCCTCCTGCATGCCCCCCACTGGGGACTGGGCCCACAACCTGGGCATGTGCTCTAACCAGAATCGAACCAGTGACCTCTTGGTGTATGGGTCGACTCTCAACCACTGAGCCACACCGACAGGGCTGTTTTTGTTTTAAATAGCATGGATGTGATCATACTGCGCCAATAGTTCTATAACTTGTTTTTTCCCCCCACTTAATATATAAAATCCCAGTGCCGTGATGCTACATACACTACATAAACATAAAATTGTTACCTAAAATGCTAAAGAGTAGACATATTTTATTTTCGCATCTTACAAATAACACTGATGTAGAGTTCATGAATAAAGCTTTTGCTCTGTTTCAGATTTTTTTTTCATTCAGAAAGAATTCCAGATATGGGATGATGGGTTCCATGAACATTTTTATAGGTTGAATCACAGTGCCAAATTGCTTTTTAAACAGGTTGTTTCACTTTATATTCCCATTCATTGTCTGTGAGCATCCTTTTTATCTCATCAGCCTTGAATATTATCTTTTACTTGAACATTTACTAATATGATAGCCAACAGGAATGTTACAATTTCTGGTCTGGTTGCTGTTGCCTTAGCATGGAATAAAGTCAAAGCCTTGGAGTTAAATGTAACTGGTTTGGTCACAGCTCTGCCACTTTCTAGCTGTATTACAATGAGCAAATTACTCAACTAGTTTGAAGCTTTCTTTGCCCCGCCCCCCCCACACACCCCTCCACTTCCCACTCCCCCAACACAGGGTTGCTGTAATTATTAAAAGAAAGTTACATAAAAGCATTTCACACCAGTGCTTGGCACATGACAAACAACAAACAGTGACTCCTTCATTTTCCAATCCAGGGAGAAGGTCAGGTAGCAACATTTTAGTTAAAAAAAAGCACACACCTGGTTTCCACCCTTGAGGAATTTGCAATCTAAAGGCCTTTGAGTTAAACTACTGGGGCTTTTAATTATTTAGAGAGGTCTCAGAGGGCAATGGTGGAAACTCACTTTAAGAGTAAGCACAAAGTGATCTGGAGAGAGTTCCTGGAGGAAAAGCTACTGTCTTAGGGAAGGCAAACGCTAAGGAAGGAAGAAAGGATATGAATTATTGTTCTATAAAAGTCAATTATACTCGTGAGGTTTTATGTGAAATCTCAAGTTTGTTCATAAAAGGTGAACTATACGAAGATTCGCAAATGGGGCAAGCTAGGCTTATCTGATGTTGTGCACTTGCTATTTGTATATTCCTAGCAAGTTTTGCTTTTTGCATCTCAGCAGAAAATAGCGAGGAGAGGGAGCATAGTATAGAGGACACAACACTGACAAGAAGTGTATCTAGTCCCCTCCATTAACCAAAGCGCGTAGACTAGAGTTAGCCTATGATCAAATGTCTTTCTCTAAATTTAGAGTAATTTAGGGTTGGTTGCTCTTTGGGGCCCCACTTCCAAGTTTTTAATCAACGTACAACTGCCAAAGAATGTCGGTGGTAATAAAAAATGATCAACTATCCTTGCCTGGATAAAAATATGCACTCTCGTTTGGGGCCATATCCATCGATGTTTTGGCGGAGTTTAATAACCGCCCCTGAAAAAGCAAGTTTTTCTAGTTGGGCAAAACCTGCCAAAATAATTTAAACGTTCTTTGTTGCAAATATAAATTCCCCCGAGAGGCCCTTTTCTCTCCTGATGCAGGATTTTCAAGCTGAACAGCCAAGTAACACGCTCGATTTGGTTCTGGATTCCCTGTGGGAAGAATTCCTACTTGGGGGCGACGGAGACGCCCTCGGTGAGTTTTCTGGCACCAGCGGGAGTTTCAAGTTTCCACTCAAGGCGGAGGCGGCGGGCGCACGCAGGGCTTCGGCCTGGGCGGCTCCGCGCAAGCGGCTTCACTCAAGCCCAGTCCCTGGAAAGAGTCCCCCTTCCTCGGCGCTCGCCCTATTTCCCTCGGGGCTCCAGGGCCCGCAGCCCATCCCTCGCGCGGCCCAGCCCCGGACAGCGAACCCCGCCAACGCCCCGCGAGGCGGCAGCTGGGAGCCCGCGGGGGCGGGGCGCGGGCGGCGGCGGCGGCGGCGGCGGCGTTGGCGCTCTGGCCGCGGCGCGAGGCCGGCCGGCCGGCAGGGGGAGGCGGGGGGCGCGGGGCAGCCCCGCCTTTCCCCCCGAGGAGCCACTGGGCGGCCATATTGCGGAGCTGTCTGCGGTGGCGGCGGCGGCGCTTCTCTCCGGCAGCCCGGCGCTCCCACCGCCGCCTCTCCTTCCCTGCCGCAGCCGCAGCCGCGACGCCCGCACCGCCGCTCCGCACCCCAGCCACGCTCGGGGCGGGAGGACTGCTCGCTGTTGGTAAGCCGCCGGCGCCCTCCCCCACCCCGCTCCGCGGGAGACGCTGGCGAGAAGTTGCGGGGCCCGCGCTGCCCGGCGGCCGCGCTGTAGGGCCTCGCGCGCCTCTGTTCGCGCCCCTCTGGCCGCAGCTTCACCGTGTTGACGGCCGGCCGGCCGGCCAGGCCGCTCCCGGGGCCAGCGCGAGCCGCGGGGCCCGGCCGGAGTCGTGACCGGGCTGCGGCAGCCGCGCGCTTCTCCTCCTGGCCGGCGTGGGGTCCGCCTTCGGCGTCGGCCCCGGACCCCTGTGCTCCGGGGCCCGGCGGGTTCCCGCCGCCTGGGCGCGGCCCTTCAGGGTAGTTGGAAAATACAGCACAGGTAGCAGCAGTGTAGGGAGGCATTTAGGAGAACTTCTTCCCCGGCCTCCAGTTTGAAAGTAAGGGTGTTGAATTACCAGAGAGCGTGCGTTCCGCCCTCGTGGCAGAGGGGATGTTGCAGTCCGGGTTCGGGGCGCGGAGCCGCTCCCGGCCGCCCGCACCCGGCGGGCCGTGCTCTCGGCCGCCCCGCTACCTGCGGCTGCGGCTGCGGGCGGCCTCGGGCCTTAGAACTTTCTCGGCCCGGGGGCAGCCGCATTTAATACCTTAAACCCCACCAGACAAGTGGAGTACATTACAGTCCCCCCTTTCTTTAAAGGGTTCTGAACTTAATTCCCGGGCTATGAAAGGAGGGCACTACAGTATTTCAGTTTAAAACGAACACTTCACTTCCTACACAGACAGGTCATTCTTTAGCCATTCCATATGTATGTGTGTATATATAGTTTTTCCTTTAGGAGTGGTTATTAATGAAGTTGGAAATATAAAGTCAACTTCATCAAAGATGTACTTTGAAATAGAGTTGAGATTTTCGAGAAGACGTTTTAATGAGCCCGCGGCACCCGTTTGGGCATGCTGTGAATCTAAAAGCTTGAGACAGTAAGGGTTATCTGATAATCGAATACTTGTACGTAGGCATTACAATCGATTGTTTTCGGAGCACCAACATGAAATACTCTTATAGTTCTGACGGAGTTCTGAATGAACAATAGCCCTCTTCATTTTGCTGAATTAAAAATGGCTTAATCCATTTGCCAAAACAGCATTATTAGATTTGAGAAGAGAGATTAATATTCAGACTTGTGATTTTTAAATTTTATTTTCAGAATTCCATTGCTTTCACCAGTGTGTTTTATCTTCCAGAGAGACTAACAATAATTTACTTCAAATACGACAAAATTTAGAATATTCATTTTTAAGTCAATAGTATGCTGTAAAAAGGATTGCACTGACTTTGTTTTTTTGTTTAGTCACTTTTATATAGGATGGAATTTAATACATTATTAGTAAGGAATGAATAGCTATACATTGGAATGCTTTACAGTTTTATTTAAATGAGACAAAGTTTGATTATGGCATTTAGAAATATTAAATTCTTGCCCTTGTGGATTAAACATTGTTTTGTTTACTCCTGTGGATCCCACACATGGAAGAGCAGGTAGGAGAGGCTTAGAAATATTTGTAGAATAAATGTAATTAGTTTCAGTGTGGGGAAAGTATGTTCGTTTGTCCTTTGTTTTGTACATTGTTATAACTTAATAGGAAATTAAATTCATTATTCTTTTTCCTATGGTGGTACTATCATTCCTGTCTCTTGCTAACACTCACTAGTCCCAGGGAGAAGGAAAAGGTTTTTTTTGGTTTATTGCTTCACTATTCCCAAGAGCAGAATTGGATTTTAATATTCATTTTTATCTTTTGCAGGCTGTTGAAAGTCTATATAGTTTATCTTAATTTCAGTTCTCAATCTTTAGTCTACTATTTATAATCTAATATAGTAGAGTGTGAAATGTTGGGTGATGGTAGGAGCCTTTTCATTCATTTTTAATTTATTGAATTTTAACTTATGTCATTTAAAAATGGCAAATTTTAACTAATATTTTCTAAAGACCAAAGCTTAAAAAAATGTGTTTTATTAAGATTGTAAAGACAGCTATACTGATAGAGCATTTCTGATAGGGTATAGCTAATAGAATTTTATGCTGCTGCTGTGAATCTGGGAAGTCAAGGAAGTCACCCTTTGTGGATGGCTTGGATCTCCTGCAGACCAAGAGCTAGGGGGCACTTCTTACCTACACTGACACTGCTCTTGGGATACTGGATCAGTGGAACTGGAGTGCATTGCTTTGACTCCACTCTTACAAAATTATTTTAAGCCTCATGCTGTTACTGAAGGCTAAAGACTGTTTGGGGAACTTCCCTAGCTTCTGCAGCAAGTCAGTATGTGCTAACCTCTTAAAGGTGGTAGAAATGGTCATTCTGACCCTGGAGAATTCCTCAATTTCTAGCTGCTTTCAGAGAACATCTGCCTTTCTTATTCATTCCTGGTATATTTCTTAATATTGATTTATATTGAACATATATTTTAAACCATTTTTGAAGACTACAAGAGTAATACATTTTAGGAGAAAGTTTAAACACCCAAAAAATGTAAAGGGAAAAGTAGAAGTCCTCCTCATTCCCCAGAGATCCCTAACCCTTTCCCAAGCCCTGTTTCTCATAGGTAATTGCTATTAGCAATTCCTTGTGTATAGAAAATGCCAGTACTTATGAAAGGATAAACATATACTTTATCTTATTTTTGACTTTAAAGTCTGTGAAAATAAGGTTATTTTGTAACAGACATTGAAAGGGTGTTTATTACTATGTTAACCATTAATTAATATTTCTCAGATATTCATCATTTGAAATAACAGTGAAATTTCCTATAACAGTAGATTTTCAACCAGTGTGCCACAAGATTTCTTTTGTTTGTTTGTTTATCCTCACCTTGAGGACATTTTTCCATTCTTTGTTCAGATAGAGTGGGAAGAAGAGAGAGAGAGAGAGAGAGAGAGAGAGAGAGAGAGAGAGAGAGAGAGAGACATTGACGCAAAAGGAACACATCAAGTGGCTGCCTCCCACAGGGCCCACCAGGGCCGGGGACAAACTGCAACTGAGATATGTGCCCCAGCGGAAACTGAACCCGGGTCTCTCTGGACCACAGGCCGACGCTCTGACCGCTGAGCCAAACCAGCCAGGGCCACAAGACTTTTTAAAACATGCAGTACCTGATTGTTTAGTCAGGGGCACTGACCTCTTTTTCCTTAGCTTGTCAAATAAAAAAATAACAACAGCCAACACAATAGCTGTCCTGTGTGAATGAATAAAAATTATGCCTATTTTTTTGGTCACATCAACAAAACATACATTTTTTGGTGTGTCATGTAGTAATTAGTTTGTGTGCCATGAGATGAGAAAAATTGAAAATCTCAGGTTGTCCTATAATAATTCTTAAGTTTACTTATGTATATGTGCAAATTTTCTTGATTGATAATTAAAGATGAAAATCACCTTTTGTTTTCTCAGAAATAAATGCCAGTAAAAAATGGTGTCCTTTGGAAAAGGCTTTATGGTTTATGGGGGCGTGAAATGTCCATATGTATCTTTGTACCTGGGACCAGTTTGGAAAGAAAATATGGTCCATCTGATAACATTTCTTGATTCTGTTTTCAATTCTAATTTCAGCCACCTGGAAGAGAGGGGTTCATTCAGGTTAGGAGATATATAGGGTATTTTTTTTCTTTGAATAATGAGTATGTAGATATAGAAATCTTTGTAAATTCACTAATCTAAAATACTGAGTTTTAGTTAATAGGTAGATCTATACATTTACATGTGAATCAGTTTTATATATTGTTTTGTATTGTAGTATATTACATTTTAACAATATTTTATATACAAATAAGGTAAGTAGACTTTGTATCAAGTGATCTAATGCTATGAATAGAATGCTCAAGAAAAGCCTTTTACTTTTCTACATAATTTATATACATTTTACATGAACTTTTTATAAGTTCTGGTAAAGTTGATTTGTTTGAGACCAGGTTAGCAAACTGATTTGCTATGCCAAATCCAGCCTGCTTTTGTAAATGAAGTGTTCTTTGTTTTTTATTTTAATCCTCACCCCAGGATAGAGAGAGGAAGGGAGAGAGAGAGAAAGAAAGAACTGTGCATGTGAGAGATAAACATCCATAGGTTGCTTCTGGTACCCTCCCCACCCCCAGCCAGGACCAAACCTGCAGCCTGGGTATGTGCCCGAATTGGAAATTGAACCCATGACCTTTAGGTGTATGGAAGGACACTTCAACCAAGTGAACCACACTGGCCAAAGCTGTAATAAAGTTGTTTTTTTTTTTTGTTTTTTTTTTATCCTCACCCGAGGACATTCCTGCATTTTTTGTTCAGACAGAGCCGGAGGGAGAGAGAGGAAGAGAGAGAGAGAGAGAGAAACATCGATGTGAAGGGACACATCGAGTGGTTGCCACCCGCACGACCAACCAGGGCCGGGGACACACTGCAACTGAGGTACGTGCCCTTAGCGGGAACCGAACCCGGGTCTCTCTGTACCGCAGGCCGACGCTCCAACCGCTGAGCCAAACCGGCCAGGGCTGTAATAAAGTTTTATTGGAACAAAGAAATGCCCATTCATTTATATATTGGCTGCTTTTGAGCTATATTGGCAGAGTTAGTATTTTTTTTTTTTTTTTTTTTTTGCAAAACCTAAAGTAAATACTATCTGGCCCTTACAGAAAGTTTACCAACCCCTGATTTAGAGAAAAATAACCCTTTTGAAAGAATGTTTTAGATACAGTACCAAAGAAGGAGGTACTGCATTGTTTTATTTTCTCCACTATTATAGAAACTATAAAGTTATGAATTTCAGAATCAGTAATTGATATATATTTTTTTCTGAGTTGTAGGTAGTCTCTGGGCTCTCAGGACCTTAAATGTTTCTTTTATTTGTATAAGGTTGTAATAAATAAGACTGGCTGCAGGTGAAATTGTGAAGTGAGCAATCTTCAATTTTGTCTTTCATCATTTAAGATGCTTTGGGTGTTATAACATAAAATTCTCAAACATGCTTCAAATAATGAGGAAATGTATTAT